AAATGTTGCAGTGCTGAATTTGAAATTTTTAGCTCCTACCTTGTTCATTAATTCATAAAAGAGGATCTGCCTTTTCCAAGATAGAGGCAGCCTGAGAAATTTCACTAGAAAGTTGGGTACCACAAGGCTCTTCCAACTGAAAAGTGCTTTGGAAATGCATTTTTATTTATTTTTGACTTTCAAATGAAGCAGGAATAAAAAAATAAGCAGGCACTAGGTATTATGGAAATAGGTCCCCCAGCTAGAATGATTGGAGGAAAAAGTGAGCTTGAATAACATTAAAGCCAAATTTTCCTTGAAATCTATGTCACTATGAAAAATGCAGTAGCTCAAAGGTAACCAAATCATCAACAGAATTTGCAAAACTATATAAACATATGAATTTATGTTATAGAAGATGATAATTTAAAATGAGTTTTGCTCTAAATTTCCAAACACATCCTGTATGTCAGAGAAAATATCTAGAATTAGTACAAGGAGACTTACAAATCCTTTGTCTCAAGTGGCCAGCCTAAGGCTGAGAAGTGCAGTGTGGGCTGAATTTATTACTAGACATGTCTTTTCTATGTAGGCCTTGGCAGAGTAGATTTTCACGACTCCCTATCTTCGTTTATATTTAGCCCACAGGGAAGGTGATAAATATCATGGATTAATCACATATAAAACAAATAGGTGTGCTCTTGTTACGTTCCCACTTTAGCAAACGGAACTGTGAGGAGGAACGAAGAGGCCTCAGGAGACCTATGGTGATTTTAACTGAGAGTCACCAGCTGAACAAAAGTGAGAGCTCAGCGTGTAAGCAGTCGCACAAAATTTGAAAGCAATCCGAAAGCAATCACCACGAGGTTAACTTTGAAATTTGGAAGTCAAGCTCATGAAACTATAAAACAGACACTCTAAACAAGGAGCAGTTTTGCCCCTGGGGTATTTTTGGTAGCCAGGACTGGCAGAGACGAGGCTGGGGAGGGCTGCTACTGGCATTTTGTGGGCAGAGACCAAAGACACTGCTAAACAGCTGAAAATGCACAGAAAGGCCTCCAACATTCAATAATTATCCAGCTCAAAATGTTGAAAGTGTCACGGTTGTAAAACCCTGCTGTGGAACCGTGTGGTATGGACATAGTGGGATGATTATGGTGGGCTGTAGGAAGAAGAAACTGTGTTTACAACTTATACACGGTAACTTTCCTTGGATTTACTGATATGAAAAATTTTTTAAAAAGTGAGAAAGGTCACTCAAAATCAACTAGTAGACAGTTACAGTCATATGTCCCAGAGAGGAATTTACTGGTAAGAGCCTAAGAATCAATTACGGTCAGGGGTCACTTAAAGATGGGGATACAATCTGAGGAATACGTCATTAGGCGAACATCATAGTGTATACTTACACAAACCTAGATAGTATAGCCTACTACAAACCTAGGCTACGTGGTACTAATCTTATGGGACTACCGTCGTATATGCGGTCCACCACTGACCAAAACGTTATGCAGTGCATGACTGTATCTGGATTATAATTGCTAAATGTTACTACAGAGTTTCTAAAATTGTTGCTAAAATTGCTCTAAAATAAAATGGGTTATTTTAGTTGTCTACTACCTCTGCATGCCCCCTTCTCCCAAATGTCCACTCACAAATGTCAGAGTAAGGATATTTGCTTTGAGTATTTTCTTCCTTAAATTTCTTTTTGGCATGCCCCACAAACCTTTGTGAATCTTTTGATTTTCCTTTTTTAAATTGCACTAAAAGAAATGCTTATTTTTATGTTCTGTTACTCAGAACTTACTATGTCTTTTCTCTCTTTTGTTCCCTAATGGATGTCTTTTAATTTCCAATACACTAGTGAAACTAGCTAAAATTCCTATAAATATTTCATTCTCAAGAAGGTAAAAGGTCTATGAGGTAGTTTGTGTGAAAAAGAAGTTGCTTTGGTGGTTGCTAAGAGAAATCTACAGAGAATTCATAATAAATGAATGCAGGAAGACCTGGGTTTATTCTTTTAAAATGAAAGTAAACATAAAGAGTATAAAGTAGCACAGACACAAGTTTTAGATGGAAAGGAATTGAGAGCTGAGCTAGGCTAACACTTCCTAATGATGGAGGAATGTAAGATGAACAAGAGTTGTAGAGGGTAATGAAACATGGGGTATCTTTCTCATTCTCCTTTCTCCCACCAACTTAAAGTGAGAAGACTGGGAAAGTAAAGAACTAAGGCTCAGAAACCATGAGGTGCCCAACACGAGAGTAGATGAAAAGCTGAAAGAATCCCACTGGATGGCCAACTCAGTCTGAGACTCATTTTACTTTGTGAATTTTGAGGTAAAATTAATATTAAGGGTGAATTACAAAATGTTCCAGTTGAGTTTGTGTTAAATTAAGGACTTATTGGAAGAATTAAGGGTTAGTTATAAAAATAAATTCTAGCAAAACTTTCTTTTTAAGCTATTTACATTAACTGAAAAGGTAATGCTTTTCTCCAAGTATTTTTTTTTTTTTTTTGTCCCCGGAAAGCTTGGAGAAATAGAAGAAAAGAGGCCCTAAAATGCAGAAGAAAAGAGGAGCGCTAACTTTTATTACATGGCCTAATACGTTCGAGGCATTGAGCTACACATTTTTTCTGGTTCTTTAACTAGTATCATTCAGCTCCAAACCCACTCTTCTGCGCTCTGTGATGCTCGGGACAGGACCACTCAGGAAGAGTTCTAGGATGGGGAAGAAGGAACCCAGTTCTTTCTGTTTTCTTGCTCTTCTGCCAGTGGGTTTCGGCAACAATTTGTTCCAGTTTCCTTCCTTTTCCTGCACTTCCAAAATCACCTTGTTGTGCCTCATTAGAGGATCAGCGAGATCTGGGCAGTGCTCCTCCTCAGAGGATCTCTGAGCCCCTGGCGCTAGAGGCGGCAGCAGTTTTCTGTGGTTAGTGTTTCTGTGTTATTTCTATGTCACCTGTACATTTTCTCAGTTCTCCTAACACCTCTAAAACAATTCCTTACATTAAATTCTCTCTGTTAAAATGACTGACATGCTTCTGTTTTCCTGATTAGCTTCTGACTGATAGCAATCACTCGTTACATAAATTGTACCCATTTTATAAATGAGTAAACTGAAACTCAAATGGGTTCAGTAACTTGCCCAATGTTTCATAACTAGCAGGTGGCACAGCTAGAATGTGAATCCAGATCCACAAGCCCCAGTCTTTGTTAATATTCCAGGATAGAGGAATAAAACCATCAGAGGTGTGTATTGCCAGATTTTAAGAATTTTAAAGAATAACTTGGGTAAAGAATTTTAGAGATTAATTTAAGAATAAAGAATTTTAGAAAATAGTTTAAGAATAAATGCATGAGGGTTCTGACTAATCAGCTCTTTCTCTCTGTCTATATATATATCTGTGTGTGTATTCCTTTTTTTTCTTTGCTTCCTTCCAAATCTTCCCTACTATGACAGAAAAAGGATTATTTTTTTAAAGGCATGAATCCATAAGGAGAAAAGATAATAGCACATTGGAAATACTAAGAAAATTGTGGAAGATAGAAAGCAAGTAAACAAGTGGGAACAAATTAAGCAGAACAGGAAAAAAAAACCCTAACTCTGCAGTGGGGAAACCTTAAGAGAGATTAATTCATGCCTCAGAACACCAGAAAAGTTTCGAAATTGGGGACACCAGGTTTGCATGAAAGTTGTTCTGAAACAGCAAAATTTATTGAAATTCTTATAAGTAGCACTTTGATCTCCAGAGTCCCATCCCCACAACTAACAGCCCAGTGGTTCCAACTCTCTGCAACCCAATAGAAAGTTTATGACTTAAAAGGGCAGTCAGGGGTTGGTAAGGCTGCTATCACTGCAGGTCTTAAGGAGAGAGTGGTTTGGATGGAAAGGTGATAGAAAATTGAGACCTCCATGGGTAGGAGCAAGTGATGGAGAGGGCCTTCAAGGGGCATAGTGAACAGTTGATGGAGCAAGATTTTGGCAGGGATGAGGTTCAGAGAAAAGGGACCGGCTGGCTTTCTGTAGGAGATTTCTTTTCACATGCAAAGAGAGCAAAGATTGATGAAGGTATTTGCAAAGATGCTTTGGGAGATATTATTCCTGAGAACTTACCTATTCTCTGCGTGAGAAGACAAGGACGAAAGGAGAGAAGACAAGATTTGGGAGGAGCAACAAAAGCTTGATTCAGCTCTACTGGGAATCAAAATAGGAACCCTCTTCCCTCTTCCCGTTTTTCTACCACATGTTATTGTTATCTTGAACACAGAATGATGCCTTAAGTTCACATAGTACAGGTCACAAACTTGTGGTCCATGTGTCAAATTTAACCTGAGATTATGTGATTTTTTTAATTGGTTGCTAATATTTTGAAATCCAGCAACTTTTATTTAAAAGAAATAATCCCATCTGAGGGCTTATTCTTGAAAGACTGGATGATACCACAATACTGGACATACATTACTGAGTGTAGCTGAGTGGTGGGAACCTTCTTTAGATGGAGTAGGTGTTCCATAGCCCCGTCACTAATTTATGTTACTTTCCTGACCTGGTAGTCATTTGAGTTTGACATCCCTGATAAAGTACCCGTCTCTTGAGGATCGCTAAGTCATCTGTGTGAAATTGAGGTGTGGTTATTATCTATATTTTTCAGAAAGGAGTGTAAGGTATCACAGGAACTCTGGACACCCCCACCCCCATTACTCTTACCCATAGATTGCGTGCGAAGTGATTGAGAGTGAAGCACCATTTTAAAAATGACTCCTGATTGGATGAACCCCTCCAGTAAGTACTGCCATACCTTCCAGGACGTCCAAATCCACCAAACTCATGTGACAAAGTAAAACTGTCACTGAGGAGTCGCCTCTGGTATCTGTCAAAGATTGTCATTCTGAGATGACTGGCCCGTCCAGATTTGTTTCTATATTGTAACTTATCAAATTCAACCTTCTGACACATGGTAAGTATGACGAAATCAATATGGCTTGATTTGGCAGAGATGGACCATGAAATGCAAATCCAAGCAGGTGCCTTACTTTTTTTTATTTGTATAATAGTTATTATAGGAGTATCAGTTGATGCTCATTCCATTTTCAAGAAATAAAATAATTCTTATATGTGACTCATTAATAATTTGCAATTCATTTCCATCTAACTGTCCACTAAATATCAATACTCCGAGAATCACTGACTAAGTATGCTCTCTGATCAAGATGCAGGTCAATTAGGAAAAGCTCTAGCCGTATTCTCGAAAATGTCTAGAAAATTACTTCACTCAAATGTGATTAAGAGCTAACTGTTAATTTAGGACTAAGATATGACTATTAAAGAGCCTGCACAAGGATAACAACTCTTTTCTAAAAGACAGCCTCCAGTAAATTAGAAGAAATTTTTCCTAACTTGTAGTTATCTCAGTGTCTTTCATACAATGAATTTCTGACATATGGGCCTCAATTTTGGGGGGTCATTATCTTTTCTAATGAAATTTCTTCATTCCTAGGAGGAAGCTCGTAGGGTTTGGTTTGCTTGTGTAGTTTCTCTACTCTTCTCTTCATAATTTCTCTGAAGTGATTTTCTTCTTCTAACTCTTTACGTCTACGTTCTTCCTCCTCACATATTGCGTCTTGTTTCTGTCGGGTCTTTAGCTCTTCCTGCCACTGTTACAGAGAGAAAATGTCATTTACATATGATTTTCCATGAAAAAATATATCAATTTGTCTTCTCAAAATACAGATTCTTATATCCAATTATCCTTTCAGTTTTTCTCACAAATATTCTTCATGAATTTATACTCAATTATACAGGAAAAATATATAAGCCATCTGTTAGAAAGCATACAAGTCTCATAAAAAACAGAATTCTTTTTGAACATTTTTAATAATAAACCATTCAAAAGAAGAAATAATAGAATTTACATTTCTATATATCAAAGAAATTTCCTTTCTTCATCAATATTGTATTTACATGATAGCATGGAATCATAAAATGAAAAATCAAGCCAAAGAAAAACAAAAAGAAAAACCAAATTAAAGTGAAAGGCAAAAATTGTCATACTATTACACAGGAGGTTGAAAATGAAACTAATGGGTAGACAAATGCTCATTTTGCAGCAGACCAGTAAAAAATACTTCTAAGAAATTCAACTCAATTGAACATGTTAAGTCATGACAATAACAGCATTATCTGGAGGCAAGAGTCCTAGGAATACATAGTTGGAAGTAATGATGGCAAATCCTAAACTAAACATCATTAAGAGGATCTCTTTCCCCCTTCTAATGTCTTTAATGAGAGAAATGGAAAAAAGAGGCAGTAATCTCTCCTTAAGCTGGGTAAAAATTCAGGACAGAATGACCCTTAGCATGAAATGTTGAAAATTTCTAAAAAGACATATCTGCATTGCTCGTTTTGTCACCCTCAGCCCATGCATACTCACAAATGACCAGACTATGCTTAACAACCTATCAATTAACTTCTAAATTACTATATACCAGTGCTGTGAATTATGACTGTTATTTGTCATCTGAGATATATAGATATTAGTAAGCAGAATTAAACCTCAGAATCCACCACACATCATTCAGCCTTCCAAAGGCAATAATATTTTTTAAGATGTCAGCATACTCAGTAAATATTAAACAAAAATAATAATAAAATCATGTCCACTTTTTTTATTCCCTGTTAAATTTTAAAGACATGAGAACTACAAAAGTTACCTGCACTTATCTTGAGATTCTTACTACTCACAGTTATTACTCATATAAGTTTCATTTTTCAAAAACCATTTTCACATGAAATATCCAGAAAATTGAGGCAAAACATCCAGAACATTGAGGCATAAGCTGAAATTCATACTTTGGTTTAGTCAGTCTACAAGTTCCATCTGTGACACACAATTTTTTCTCATATAATAAATAAATAATAATATTAATTGTGTGACAAACTACCAATTTTTTGTTACAGCATAAAAGTAGTAGTTAGTGTAACAATAACAATATCTATAAACAAGGACAACTAATCTACCTTATGTGAGATTTCAATGTATGTCATGACTTTGATCTTTACAATGTGAAAAATCAACAGAGGATTAATTCTTAAGAACTCTTCGTGAAGTAGAACTCTTTTATTTCCCAAACAGCATGTATAAAAGCCATAATGGGCTATCATTTTGCTAACGTCCAGGAGGCAGCTCTTCTTCTTTTTCCAGCTTGTTAGAACTTGGCATCGCTGGAATTTACCATAACGTTATGATCCTTCTTTCTGTCAGCCTCAGAAAAAAGTAATTTTTCTTTCTCATTTTTGTCCCTGTTGACTATGACAAATTCAATTTGGATAAACCATCGTCTTGTCTCTACTTTTATCTGCTGTTATTATCATAATTGTGGCAGCGAGGGGGATGCAGATATGCTTGAAGTTCATGGAAAATAAAACCATTATTTACTGCTTTACTCAACCCATTCATTCAGGGAGTCAGTCATCATGCTATGAATACTAGCAGTGTACAAGGTACCTTAATATCTCCTGAAAAATTAGGTATCGGCCCTATTCTTTGCTTATTATGGCCACTCAGTAAAATTCAATTGACTTGGCAGGACAATTACACCTGTAGCTGTGTGTTTTTGTTTCTTGCCAATACTACAGTTTCCACCTTCCCACCTCCAGTTCAGGATGGGGATTATAAACCAAGAAATTGAGCAACTATTGAACATTGAAAAGTGGATTTGGAATCCAGAGATCTGGTTTTGTGTGTAGATTCAGTCATTTACTAATTTAAAACTTTGGGCAAGTAACTCCATTGTAACCACCATTCTTGTTATTGGTAAATGTTTCACAAGGTTGTTGTGAGGATTAAATTAACTAATGTAAGAGCAAATATGAGTACAAAGCATTACTGCTATAGCTATCTGAAAGGAAATGGTATATATGTGAATATTTTTAAAAGTGTAATATTCAGAGAAACTTCCATAAAATTTCCCAAATCAATACTGCAAATTACTAACTATTTGATTAGGTTGGCCACATAGCAAAAATTTTGGATCCTATCAATTATCAAACATATTTTCAGGAAGGATTTCTTTCCCCTTCTATAGCTGCACTATAAACAGATTGACGGTGGTGATTGCTTAGATCATGCTCATACTCTTGGAATGAGGAAAAGATGATGGTTTTTAGGAGCTATTTCCTATCCTTCTCTCTATCATTCAGAATAATGCCTTCAGTCTCTTCAACTAGCCCTAGGCAGATGTGGTTAATCACAAAGTGATTAAAGTCTTATTAATCTTTCAAGGGTAAAGAATGGTCACCAAAAATCGGGTCAAAAGGTTTTTGTTCTGTTATTAAAACTACACTACATATATGGATCCATACACATCAGCAATTTGCTATCTCTTGTAATCTATTCTAGATCATTTAGTTGAAGTGAATAGTAAAACACAGATGCTGCAATTTATAAACCATTAGGAATTTTTGATAATACCCTGTATATATGACATGTTGGCTTTGCAAAACCTTTATTAGTGAATAAAAGAATAATATTACAGCTACCATTTCATGATTCCAGGATGTCATTCCATTTCCAAACCCCAATACTTGTAGCTATTACTAGAGTGGCTTCAATATTAGCTGTGTGATAACTATTCAATGGAATCAGTAAATGAAATGATCCCTTATTCTTTCTCAAAAGATCACTAAATAATTGGAACATGAAAAAATTAATCATGGAAACATAAACACAATCCGGTAGATAATACTGAACTGGCGATAAAATTAATTTAAACACGTTCTATATGCTATTGACTCCATATCGTATTCAAAGGAAAAACAAAAAATAAGTACTTTCTCTCCAACTCCAACTTTACTCCTAAAAAGAAGGAGTCATAAAATGATTTTGGTGAGAAATCATCGACTAAATACAGCTCAATGGATTAAAGTATCTTAAGTGAATGACCTTGTATTGCCACTGCTTGTTTAATTCATACCAAGAACAGTGATTAAATTCTTACTAATATTTCAAGGATAAAGAACGATCACCAAAAATTGAGTGAAAAGATTTTTGTTCCATTATTAAAACTACACTATAGAAAAAAGTCAGTGTTTGGTGTTCAATATCAGATTCTTGTCACAAGAAATCAGTATGAATTCAGGAAACTTGGGATAAGACTAGTATTTTACAAATGTCAGAAAGCCAAATTTTCTGTAGTTCAATGAAGGCACTGAGGTGTATAGACAGTGCACTGAGATATAATTAAGTTTGGTAATGCCCAATCATGGCTTTGCTTTTAAGTTTCATGTGTTAATGTTTCAGTCTCAGAACTTACACTTAATAATTCAAAGTGCCTTTAAAGAACAAAGCTTTTGCTGCTAGTTTAAGAAAGTTGATCTTACGTGAAGGTCAATGATTCTCGCCAACTCTTCATCTGTCCTGGTGAAGAAGTCTGGATAAGGAAACAACGGGAGATCTGATACAGAAGAATGTCCCCTTCAAAAGAGCACACAAGAACAGATCCACTATTACTACAGATATTCCTCCTTCCAGAAATATAGAGATGTGCAAGTCATAATTCATTATCAAAGATTTTGATTCTATATTGTTAACGTAAAATACTCTGTGTAGACTATTATATATACAGCGGTTAGTTTCTGTAAGCTTTGGTTTACTAAAACTAACATTTTTGAGGGTAGAGCATGATATATAAAATGAGAACTATAAATAATAAAAAGGCAATCTTCTCCTAGGCAACATAAATACTACTGCTGGTTGGTAACAAATGAGATGCTACGATAGGAAGATCTTAAGGAAGCCTGAAGTAAACCATGCCCCGTGGGCAGATGAAAGTGTCCACAGCCATATATAACCCCATGACCTTGGAAGCTCTGCTGGAAGTCTAAGCCTAAGAATTTGATCTCAGATATTCTGAAAAATGCCGTGATTTCAATACTTCTCCGAGCGCTTTGTATTACTAAGGGTGGAAGAGCAGCAGACAGCTGAGCAACAACTCACTGAAAGTGTTGGCAGTGCAAAGCTGAGCCTTAAACTAGTGGAGACTTAGTGTTAACTGTCTACATAATAATTGTGTTATTAAAGTTATTATGAAGAAATGATTGTGGGTCCAGAAATATGTAAAGCAACAAAATGATGGTAGAGAATATGGTTTTGAAAGAGAGAAAATGGGTTTAAAGGAAAAGCTCTTTGCCAAGAGGCTAAGGAGAAACATAGATGGTGGAAAATTTCCATATTCAGAAAAATTTAATCAATTTTTAAGACTATAATGTCTAATACACATTTTTTCAAGTTGCTGCCTATAGCATTTCAGTGAGCTCTATAATTGTGATAGCCCACACTTCCCTCATATCACCGGGTCCTCTTGCTTTATGCTGCACTAAATGCCTCTCAAATCTCTCCATTCATCTTCATCTCCACCATCATTTCCCCAGTCTAAATCATTATCTCTCACCTGGCTAAGGTCTCCTTTTCAGAATCCCGGTATCCTCCAAACCTTACCCTTTTTATCTTGTCTCTATACAGTAGCCAATTTTTTTTTCAAAATACAAAGTGGATCATGTCAATCTTCTACTTTAAACTGTTCAATAACTCCCCATTAGCTTTAGGATTAAGATCACATTTGTTGTTAAGGAAGCCTGGTGTAGACTGTGCATTTGTTAAAGTGGCTTTGCATAGTTTCTTCAGACTTCTGTCTCTCCCTACTTGGCCTGGATCTACGCATTCCTAATACATGGGCTTTCTTGCAGTTCCTGTAATGTACCTTGCTCCACCCTGCTACTGTTTATTTGCACACGCTGTCATCCCTTTCTCCAGTGCATTTCTCCTCCTCCTCTATCTCTGTTGCAGGGCTGGTTCATGCCTACTTATCCTTCAGCTCTCAGTTCAAGCCCACTATGATAGCTGTCAACTCACCATGGGCCTTCCCTTCATCATACTTATCTCAGTTGTAATTTTATGTTTATCTGTGTGCCTGTGTGAGTTGCATATATTCCTAACTAGAATATGAGCTCATGATTGCAGAGACTTTTTTTCGTTTGCCTATCACTGTCTCCTCAGTGCCACTAGATATTCAATGAATGTTTGTATGCTTGGTGAATTGTTGAATGAATAAATGAAAGCTGTGATATGCTTTAATCCTCTTTATATTCCAGGTCATCAGTAAGAGGCTACCATACAACACTCTTATGACAGTAGAACAGTGTCCAGTACAGCAAGAGGATGGCAATCAGAAGACAAGTCACAGGGTAGAGCTAATAGCAGGAGTTCAAAGGAAAGCAACTCAAGTCGTAAGTGACCAGGAAAAATATCTGGAGCCCTCTCCCAACCCATAAGATGCAGAAATATTGTGAGGCAGAAGAGAGATGATCTTCCCATTGCATGTAGAATGGGGACTCTAGCCCTTCTATTAAAACATTAAAGGAAAATATGATTCTAGAATGCTGGGGAATCTGGGGCCAACACTTGGATTAAATACGTTCATTCAACAAAATTTGGGCACTTCTGATATTTAAAGAATTGTGCTAAATACTGTGAAAATATAAGTACGGCAAAATTTTTAAATTATTTAAAGGTGAAAAATATTCAAGCAAGTTGCCTCAGATTCCTTCTTGAATACAAAAGTTTAAATAAATTCATGACAATATAGAAAACTTTTAAAATGAGAAGATTAGATGAATATGCTTGTGCATCTGTGATTTCTAGTTATCTCAGTTGAACGGTTTGTACTAGAAAAGACAAATGCATAGACAACTATAATATAAGACAACGTGAGACATAAGAGAAGTAAACATTCAATGATATAGACAGAATACATAAAATAGTTAAGCACATGGGCTCTGTACGTAGATCTTGAAGCAAATTTTAGTTCTGCCACTTAGTATTATTTAATCCTGTTCCTCAGTTTCTTTACTTTTAATATAAAGAATAATAGTACCTGCCTTGTTATGTTCTTATAAGGATCGAAAAGGGATAAAACACAAAGCATGTTTAATGGAGCAAATACTAAACAAGTCTTGGCTGTATTATCCTTATTACCATCATTATCAAAAGAATTCAGAAGAGAAAGCCATGGCTTTTGGCTGGTACTAAAAGAGAAGAGAAAAAAAAAAAATAAGAGGAAAAGGAATGGAGGACAAAACAATTAAGATGAGCTTAAATGAAGTGTACAATTTTGACTTTTGGAGTTTAAATGGGAAGTAGGGAGAAACTTTTCTAGAAAGATGGTGTATTACTATCTTACATCTGCTACAAATTGCTAGGCTTAAAAAAACAGAAATCCATTCTCTCATAATTCTAGAGGCCAAAAGTCCTAAATCAAGAGGTTGGCAGGGTTGGTTCCTCTGGAGAGTCTGGGGGAGAATGCATTCCTTGCTTCTTACCTTCTGGTAGCTGTTGGAAATTCTTGGCATTCCTTGGCTTGTAGACATATTACTCCCATCTTTGAATCTGTCTTCATAAGGTCTTCTCCTCTGCATCTCTGTATGTCTTCTCCTTCTCTGTCTTTTATAAGGACATGTCTTATAAGGACACAAGGACACTGTCATTGGATTTAAGGATTCAACTTTCCCCTCAGCTTGACTAAACCTTAGACATGCTTCTTGACTCTAGACCCTTGACCTCCCTTTTTTCAGAGTATTTTAGAAAACTTGTGATTGTAAATTCTTCCTTTTCTCTCACACTCTTGTAAGTTTTACAACCCAGAAATGTCTTTCTCAAAAACTTGAGAGCCAGCCTTTTAAAAGGCAATCATCAAGAAAGATAGTGCCCTATCTTCCAGTCTCTATGAGAGTGTAGGAGCCAAATTTAGATAAGTGACAATTAGCAAACACAGATGACCTAATCACAGTGACCATATCGTTTCTGTGGGTTCAGCTTTTTTAGATTCCACATATAAGTGAGATGATATAGTATTTGTCATGCTCTGTCTAACTTATTTTACTTAGTATAATATCCTCAAGGTCCATTCATGTTGTCACAAATGGCAGGATTTCCTTCTTTTATGGTTGAATAATATTTCATTGTATATATACACCACATTTTCTTCTTCCATTCATCCTTTGATGGACACTTAGGTTCTTTCCATGTCTTGGCTACTGTAAATAATGCTGCAATGAACATAGGAGTGCAGATACCTTTTGAGGTAGTGATTCATTTCCTTTAGATATACACTCAGAAGTGGAATTGCTGGATCATATGGTAGTTCTATTTTTAATTTTTTGAGGAACCTCCACACTGTTTTCCACAGTGACTGTACCAGGTTATAGTCCCACCAATGCTGCACAAGGATTCCCTTTTCTCCACATCCTTGGCAAAACTTATCTTTTCCCTTTTTGATAATAGCCATTCTAATAGGTGTGAGTTGATACGTCACTGTGGTTTTGATTTGCATTTCCCTGATGATTAGTGATGTTGAATACTTTTTCACGTACCTGTTAACCCTTGTATGTCTTCTTTGGAAAAATGTCTATTTGGGTCCTTTGCCCATTTTATAATCAAATTATTTGTCTTTTTACTATCGAGGTGTGCGAGTTGGATATTAACTCTCCACAGATGGTTTGGAAGCATTTTCTTCCATTCAATAGGTTGCCTTTTCATTTTGTTGATGGTTTCCTCTCCTGTGCAGAAGCTAAGTTTGACGTATTCTCATTTGTTTATTTTTGCTTTTGTTGCCTGTGCTTTTGGTGTTGAACCCCAAAAATTGTTGCCTAGAACAACATCAAGGAGCTTTTTCCCTATGTTTTCATCTAGGAGTTTTATAATATCAGTTCTTATGTTTAATCCAAACTATGGTATTGGCATAAAAACAGATACATAGGCCAATGGAACAGAATCAAGAGGCCAGAAATAAACCCATGCATGTATCTCTTCAATAATTAGTGCTGGGAAAACTGGATATTGACATGTAAAAGAGTAAAATTGGACCCTTTCTTATGCCACTCACAAAAATTAATTTTTTGATTACTATAGCTTTGTAATATAGTTTGAAATCAAGAAGTATAATGCCTGTAGCTTTGTTTTTTTCTGAGAATTGCTTTGGCTAATGGGGGCCTTTTGTGGTTTCATATGAATTTTAGAATTTTTTTCTATTTCTATGAAAAATGCCATTGAAATTTTGACAGGGATTGCACTGAATCTACAGATCACTTTGGGAATAACGACATTTTAACAATATTAAAGTTTTTCGATCTGTGAGTGTGGAGTTTCTTTCCATTTATTTATGTCTTCTTCAATGTCTTAAAGTTTTCAGTGTACAGAAATTTCACCTCGTTGGTTAAATTTATTCTTAAGTATTTTATTATTTTTGATGCCATTGTAAATGGGATTGTTTCTTTTTTAGCTAGTTCATTGTTAGTGTATAGAAAAGCTACTGATTTTTTTTCTTGAGGAAGATTAGCCCTGAGCCAACATCTGCCACCAATCCTCCTCTTTTTGCTAAGGAAGATTGGCCATGAGCTAACAGCTGCCCCCATCTTCCTCTACTTTACATGTAAGATGCCTGCCACAGCAAGGCTTGATGAACAGTGTGTAGCTCCGCATCTGGGATCTGAACCAGAGAATCCTGGGTTGCTGAAGCAGAGTGCATGAACCTAACCACTAAACCACTAGACCAGCCCTGAAAAGTTACTAATGTTTGTATGTTGATTTTGTATCCTGCAACTTTACTGAATTCATTTATTATTTATGACAGTTAATTTAGTGGATATTTTAGGGTTTCCTATATATAAAATCATGTCATCTGCAAAACAGAGACAATTTAAGTGCTTTTCTGACTTGGTTACCTTTAATTTCTTTTTCTTGACCTATTGCTCCAGCTAGGACTTCCAGTACTATGTTGAATACAAGTGGTGAGAGTGGGCAACTTTGTCTTGTTCATAATATTAGAGGAAAAGCCTTCAACCTTTCACTGAGTATAACATTAGCTGCAGGCTTGTCATTTATGGCCTGTATTATGCTGAGGTATGTTCCTTCTATATCCAACTTGTTGAGAGCTTTTATCATGAAAGGATAAAATTTGAATTTTGTACAATGTTTTTTCTGCATTTATTGGGGTGATCATATGATTTTTATCTTTCATTATATTAATGTAGTGTATCACATTGATTGATTTATATATGTTGAATCATCCTTGCATCCCAGGGATAAACCCCACTTGATCATGATGTATGATCCTGTTGAATTTGTTTTAGTAGTATTTTATTGAGAATATCTGCATTTTGTTGAGAATATTCATGAGGGTAATTGGCCTGTACTTTTCTTTTCTCATAGTATCTTTATTTGGCTCTAGTATCAGGGTAATGCTGGTATCATAAAGTGAGTTGGGGAGTGTTCTTGTCCCTTTGATTTTTTGGAAGAGTTTAAGAAGGAATGGTGTTAATTCTTCTTTAAATGTTTAGTAGAATTAACGGGTGAAGTTATTTGATCCTGGGATTTTCTTGGGAAGTTTTCGATTACTAATTCAATCTCCTTATTTGTTATTGGTCTGTTTAGATTTTCTATTTCTTCATGATTCAGTCTTTATAGGTTGTATTGTCCTAGGAATTTATTCATTTCTAGTTTATCCAATTTGTTGCCATACAGTTGTTCACTGTGGTCTCTTATGACCCTTTGTATTGCTGTGGTATCTGTTTTGGTGTCTTCTCTCTCTTCTTTTATTTTATTTAAGTCTTCTCTCTTTTTTTTTGTAAGTATAGCTAAAAGTTTCATATTTTCAAAGACCAGCTTTTAGTTTCATTGATCTTTTCTATTGTTGTCCAGTCCCTACTTCATTATTTCCACTTTGATCTTTGTTGTTTCCTTCCTTCTGCTAACTTTAGGCTTATTTTGTTCCACTTTTTCTGCTTCCTTGAGGTATGAAGTTAGGTTATTTGAGATCTTTCTTTTTTTTTCTTAATATAGGCATTTATCAGTATAAACTTTCCTCTTAGAGCTGCTTTTGCTGCATCCCATAAGTTTTGGTATGTTTTGCTTCCATTTTCATTTGTTTCAAGATAATTTTTGATATCCCATTTGATCAGTAAAGAAAGAGCTGGTACTCAATTATTTCTATTACCACTACCTGATCCCACATTTAAAATATCTGGTACCTATTTAATTGCCCTAGTTTTGTAGTTCCTGCAGTGCAAAACATTCTATGTATACAGTCTGCTCAGTTTGAGTTAAAAATTTTTCTGCTTTCACCCTTCCATCATCTGCACAGCCTGGGCAGGATCCCATTTCTGCCTGGCATAAAAAACTGCCGATGAAGGAGGCTCCAGGGTCCTTGGGCTTCTGCCATTCCCAATGATCCCATCCCAGGGGCTCTGTCTCAGACATCTGCTTCTACAGTTTCAGTCTAACTTTTCCTTGCCAGACAGACTATTGATCTGGCGGTTTCCTATACAGTGCCTACCAGAAAGTTTCAGGTGTCACTTTCACATTGACTAGAGCTTACAGAAGGAACTAAGGAACTCAAAGTCAAGACTATTTGAATTTTAATTTCTTTTCAATCCATTGAGTCAAAATGTCTAATGGACATGTTCCACTGAAACAATTCTTCCTGCATTCCCAGACAACAATTTTGCAGCCCTAGGCCAAGGATAGTCCTCTGCCACACTAACATTGCAGATTCATGTTCTATTTCAGTTTATTTACAATCTCCTAAATCAATTTAGCCATCAGAGTCTGAGGTCTTTTCATCAGTCTCATTTTAAACACTAACCTGTGTGGTTATGATAACAGGATTGTGATGTAATTGACTGAAACATGCCAAAAGACATAGCAAAGGGTGTTTAAGTTTCTTTAAAGGCAGCTTATAGAAACTTATGAAGATGGTTTCACAAGGAAGGAGAAAACATAATGTGCCCCAGGAAGAGGTATGGCTCCAGGAACACTTCTGAAACAAATCTGGAGGGATAAGTAGGAGTTAGTGTAGTGTTACTGAGAAGAAGGGTGCATATTGACTTAAGTGAGCACATGTATCAAAGAGCCCTTTGAGGTTGGGTGGAGAACAAGTGATAACTTCAGTTTTGAACATGTTGAGTTTAAGTGTCTTCCTACACCAATTCGAACTGGTTGAATCTAGGCCTGCAGCGTCACTGTCATCCTGGGAACACTCCTCAACACTGTTCTCTGTCGGGACCAGTGTTTTCTGAGCCTACTATATTGCTTTTTCTTTATTTATTCCCTCTTTTGGGGGAAGATATTTTTAAGAATCTTCCTAAGAAATGGTGAATAGAAGTATAACTTGAAAATGTCTTTTTCTACTCTCACATTTAATAAACTGAGGCAGGAAAATATTCAAGTGCCATTTGTTATTTGAACTCTAACCAACTTGAAGAACAGAATAGATTCAGATAAATTTTTATATGAAACCTTTTTACCTATTTTCCAAATATTATCAATGAAATATATTTAAATACTAAGGAAGGGATATTTATGATTTTAGAGTGGATATTACTGCCCCTCAGTGTATTGAGGCAATTGTTTGACCATCTTCTTGCTTCTGTTACCACTTTTCCAGCATCCAATGCCTCCCTAA